AGGTTTCGTATGTGTATATATAAACAAATATTTGGAATAGAAGGAAGTGAAATGCGTACCTGAAAGTTCTCTGCCTCCAGAGTTCCGCCTGAGCTCCGACAGAGCTCCCACAATCGCCTTGTAGCTTGGGTATATCTAGGCTGAACAAAAGAGGAAACTGAAGTCCCTAAGGATGAGACTTTTTTCTTCAAGGTCCTTCGATGGTATTTCCTTTTCCTGGAACCATTATCTTAGGAGCATTAGTGTATGAGAGAGATCTTGTTGCTTGTTCACAATGACTCTCCCCTCTTCCAATATCATGTATCTCTTTTCATTTTCTGATTCCTCCTCTTGGCCTATGTCTTCGGGATAATCAATAGCATCAAACGATAATAGCAATAATAATAATAAATAGTACTAATACTACTACTACTACTAATAATAATAATAACGATAACAGTAGTAATAAAAGTAACAAGTACCCTCCGGGAATGATGAAATAATGACATATCTATAAATTCAAAGGTATCAACCTGGTCAGGAATAGAGTCAGACTCAGCTTCCTTTTTAGCATATGGCTATACAACATTCACCAAAATCTATCCCCCCCTATCACTGTACCTCAACGACTTGTTTGCGCATACTCACAACACCCTCTTATCCAACTAGGATCTACCCTAGGTGTCTCACACACACATGTACCTATACATGCTTGCTGATGCGGTGGCTATGGCCACTCCTTTCTTATAGCTAGTTGTTGGCTGACCTTATCTCTCTTTGGTCCTTTCCTCTAGTATTGCACGCACACTCACTTATCTAACACACAAGAATCTATCCTGAATAAACCCACAACTAAGCGCTACTAACAAGCACCAACTCTCGGTCCTGGTACAACCATAGTTGTTTTCGAGTTCCACTTGGCCTTGGGTAAGCTAGGGGAAGGACGGTAATACTACTTCAATGGGTGCTACCCTGTCTGAACCTAGGGCCCAGAGTCTCTTGGGGCCTGTAGTATATTGTCTAGGCCTTGTGTCCGGAGTTCCCGTTCAACAAGGCTCGTCCGATTCCGCTTCCACCAGGGCTGGGCAACCTATCAGCCCTGGTGCCTATCACTACTGTTCGGTCCAAGTTACCTGCCCATTGGTAGGGTAATGGTCCTAAGTGCTGGTCACACTGAGGTAGGATAGTGGGATAGGGGTTGCGCTAGGAGTATTGACGTGAGGATGGGATGGGAGGTGGTCTCATATTCCAGGACACCCACGGCCTACTGCTCCATGTGATCACTGTACACTCAATGACTGGCCTCTACAACACCATGGACGTTTTGAATTAAAAAAAAAAAAAAAAAAAAAAAAAAAAAAAAAAAAAAAAAAACAAACAAACAAACAAACAAACAAACAAACATGTTAGCACCTTCATTCTTTAGTCTCCCTTGTTTCGAGCAAGGATTGGCAACAGGATTAGTGAACATGTTAGCACCTTCATTCTTTAGTCTCCCTTGTTTCGAGCAAGGATTGACAACAGGATTAGTGAACATGGTAGCACCTTCATTCTTTAGTCTCCCTTGTTTCGAGCAAGGATTGGCAGCAGGATTAGTACACCATCCATCCTTTTTTTATTTTTATTTTTATTTTTAATAAAGACTCTGCAGAATCTAATAGGGTGGGTGATACGAGCATCCCCTCCTACTAGGTCTGCTTGGTCACTCCATCTATTGGTGGGGAGCTGCACCTGCTGGAAACCGGGTCCAACGTCCCTTAATTACATATGAAAAAGTTGGAAGATAAGTGTACTAATACCATCCAAATGAAGAAAAAATACCTCTTCAGTCCATCAGGACTGGTAGATCTGAAAATAACATACAAGCATCTTTCCTTCTGATATTTACTTCCCCCCCCCCCTCCATACCACTGTAATTCAACTAAGGCTATTTCAAAAGGGGGAAATGGGTCTGAGAAAAAAACTGGAGATTTGAGCACGGCTCCTGGTAGAAGCTGGAACCAGTTCCGGAATATGAGTTGAAAGTCCCTTTTGAAGTCCTTTTCAAATTGTCGGATTGCATATTGAATATTTTTCTTCTGCTGGAATTTGCCTAGTTTAGATGAAATATGACCAATATGTAATTTTTATTTGTACAAAATTAACAATTAGTTCCCTTAATTTTGATCCTTCCAGCCCTACTCCTTTATCTCCCTGACACAACACTTATACCATAATGTCCATACCATTGCCTTGCGACCTATCTAAAAAAAAATATGTTGGAAGATAGACAATTGCAATCCCTGGGGAATGCAGTGACCCAGGAGAATGACTTCCAATCCCAGGGCCAATCAATTCCTGTTAGGCCCTTTCAAATGCAATCCCATCTTCTCCATAGCAGTACTGATCCAAAACATTGCAGAAACATATGTTCAATAGTTTCTCTGAATTTTCTACTAGGAAAAGCTAGAAGACAGGATTTGCACCATGGCGTACCTAGTCCTCTCTATTCTAGTATCGAACGATCTATCAACCAATCATTTGTAGGCAGACACCGATGTACTATCTGTCATTGTAAAGAGGAAAATTTAGCAGGCCATTGTTTGAGATTTTTGAAAATTTGATATGTTTGATCGAATTTATCTCAATATTAAGATGGTTGGCTCATTTTTCATGCAAAATTGTCGCAATGTCCACTTTTGGGCGGAAAAGGCGATAGACTGCTTTAACTGACAATGAATGAAGATGTCTGGGTTCCCCTTTGTTGCTGGTCTTCCAGACCCGTTCATTCGGATCTATTGGAAGTTCTGGAATGGGGCGCTCAGGATGAAAGGCCCTCCACCCTCTGGTGGATGGTACATACATTACTCGTATCCTATAAATGTGGTCAAAAGGAAAGAAAGATACCTTGTTCTCAAAGGATTCAATAAGATAGTGATCCCTTTTGATTACTGTAAGACTGATCAATACTTCATCTTCGAGTGTGTAGATCACGTGACCTACTACCACCTGATCCTCATCTAACATCCCTACCACCCAATCTCCCTTCCTAAAAATAATGCCTTTTCTTAATGTGCGTACCCACGCCAAGGGAATAGAGAAAATAATATGATCCAATGAATTAGAGAGTTGATGAGCATACCTGAGAGTCTCTCTCATCTGATCCACTGTTTTCCAGTCTTTCTTAAACGTATCTCATATGTCCTTTATTCTTACCACCTGCCTTTTCACCCATAATGACCAAGGTGTATCTGAGCTATTAAAAATACATCCATTCTGGTCCGTGATCCATCGATTCCCAAAAAGAGGTTGCCGAAGCACTTCCTCATAACGAGAGGGAAAGGGTTTATCGGGAAACGACAGATGGCGCCAAACTCTGAGAAGAGACACCCAAAAGTTGTCAAGGATCAGATCGTTCTGGGCTTCCCCTCGGATCCCTACCTCCCTAGATTGCACCCGTGCTCTCGGAATGCTCCAAAAACGGACTTCTATCCATGTTAGGGGGTGACTAGTCTCCATTGATGAAGGAGCTAACCTTTTGATCTGCTCAAGGGCCAGGGCTTGCCAAGGACTGTCTACGGCCAGAATTAGTTTGATGATACATTGAAGAGAGAGCTTGACATTGGAGTGTAGGATCTAACACTCCTAAACCTCCCCTCGACTTAGGCTGTATAAGAGAGAGTCAAGCTACTCGTGGAATAACCTTATCCTACTCATGATTACCTTTCCATAGAAAGGCAGATACCTGTCTTAGAAGGATTTTTGTGCGTGATTGACTTACAGGCCAAAGTGTCGACTTGTACCACATAGAAGAAGGGACTACATTATTAATAATTAATGTTCTCCCAAAAAGAGAGCTATGTTGATTTTTCCACTGACTTAATTTACACATTGCAGGCTCTGTAATCCAATCATCATTAATAACTGGTTTTCCATATGCTGTAAGAGACACCCCTAGGATCCCAATTGTAAAATCCAGAGGCACCCACCTAAATTCCATTCAGCATTTCTTTCGACTTATTTGGAAGTAACCTCGCATGATTCTGGGAAAGGACTACAACTGTTTGCTTCTTCAACCATCGCACTACAACATCGTCCACCTTATCATTCAGATGAAGACGGCCAATCCTGCCCTCAAGCTCCCAAGTCCCATGATCTATGATGCTGCAGGAGCACGTCTTCAACCACTTAAACCATCAGTACACCCCAGCCTGACAGAATCGCAATGTGCACCAAGCTTTGCTGAAACAACAGCAGCACACTTTTTTCTTTTTTGGCTGGTGCCGCCAGCCATTGTGGTCTGGGAGCCCCCATCCTCCGAAATTTTAGGAGTGAGCCAGGAGTTTTCTGAAGCTGTCTGGGGCTGTGTACTTGCGGTTTAAATGCGTAGCAGGTCAGCCTGTAATTCAGCCAGATACATCTGGAGAAGTCCTAGTGTGATTATGCACTAAACAAATTGCAACCCGCTGAGGAGAACTCTAAAGAAAGCCATTTGCCTAACGACGTCTCCCCTGGACTTCTCCCTTGAACAACAGACCATCCATAGATGAGGACTGTTTCAATTGAATATCACTGCAGTTATGGCAAGATTCATTTGAGGAAGTCGTAGTGTGAACATCCTCTTTAGGCAAATTGGAGCACACTAAGGAGAAGGTTGAAAAAAGTCATCCTCTGAGCACTCACCCCTTGTGAATATGCCCTTTTACAAATTGCATCAGACTGAGGAGGATGTTGACGAAAGTTGTCCATACCCCTGACCACTTTCCCCCTGGATTTCTCCTTCGTCCATTCTTGCACTAGGGCTTTTTGAAATGAATCCTACCAAAGTCATGGCCATCCATTCTTGTACTAGGGAAATGAATCCTACAGAAGTCACGACCAAATTCCTTCAAGTAAGTCTTAGTGTGAATATGCCCTTGGGCAAATTGCAACACATTGTGGAGATTGTTGAAAAATCATCGCCTGGACCACTTTCCCTTGGACTTTTCCTTTGATCTGTGGTCTTGTTTGTGATGACTATGACTATGATACTGTTCATGCAGAGTGGAGGAGCGGTGTACTTGAACACAGGGAAGAATGGTGCTATTGGGCGATTCAGGAATGTGCAGTTCGAGAATAATATTGCCAAGGTAAAGCAATTCTCAAGATGAAGTAAAATTTTGAAATTTCACGGCTAAATAATACACAGTTTTTCTGCTTTTGCATTTGCAATTTTGCAAAGAACTCAGTTCAAAATTCGCACAGACAGTTCAGAGAAAGGGAACGCAACAGTAAAATGCGCATAGCCTCAAGGGCGATAAGAATGTAGGTGGAAGGAGACAAAAAAACTCAGGGTCATAACTTTTTTCTTTTTTTGTTCTTTTTTTTTCTTTTCTTTTTTTAACAGAACCTGTTGGTTCTGGCTCCTTTTCCATTCTGGAAAGCATCATTCCAGTACTTCTTTTTTGTTTTCTTTTTTTTTTATATCCCCCCTCCAGTGATGGTGGTGCTGGTAAGAGCAGACACCACTAGCACCTGAGGAGAGGCTCCATCTATTGGTGGGGAGCAACACCTGCTGGAAAACAGGTCCAGCGTCCCATATAAAGAAGAAATTCAGAGTACATCAGGAAAAAGGAGACGGAGACTCTTGCCAGCATTGATTACTCTGGAATCCAGAGGACTGACTGAGCAGGAGTTTGGAAAAAAGAAAGAGAACCTCTTTGCCCTGAACCAGGCGCCAGATAACTGCTGCTACAAACTAGTTCCTCTCTCCCCCCCCGCCCTTTTTCCACCCTGCCCCAACTGCCAATCTCCAAATGTAGACCTCGAACATCAAAGGGTCCAGCTTTTGTTTGGACAATGTTCTATGAGGCTAGCTTTTCTGCGCTCCTTGTCGTCCATTATGTGCTCTGCCCTTATTCAAACTGCACCGTCGGTTCCATACCATCGCAGGTCCACCATTGCTAACTGGTGGGGCGGGAAGGGATCGGGAAATTCTGTGGATGGTCGCAGCGGGAACTCCTCGCCCACCACTGTCCAGTCTTTGAAGCAAATACTGTAGTCCTTTCTAAACTCTCCCTGGCGGTCACCCTGGGTAGGCCTGCCTTCCCATCTGACGGAGGCAATCCAGCCCCCATTCGCGCTGCCCAACCAGTCCCTTGAAAATTGCTGGATTGTTTGTACTATATCTTTGGATGAGTGAAACAGGTCCAATTGGTTCTTAATTCTTTGCCATTGTACCGTTAGTTCTTGTTGGACATATTGTTTTATCACATCTGTCACCTCTCCCTCCGCCGTGCGGGCTCCCTCTATGGCATGTATACAACGTTTCCTCCAGAGGGTCCACATGACAACTCTCCTTCATGTTTTAAACATGTTATCCGTGGGGGAGGACCATGTCTCGCATAGAATGGCTTTCCAGTCCCAAGGCCATTTTGACCCAGTGTCCAGACGAGACCAGATTCTATCCCACCATCGCCATGTGAGGACTGCACCCGAACATTGCATGAATATGTGTTCTATAGTTTCCGGGATTCTGCGGGAGGGGAAGACAGTGTGGCACGCTTTGCACCAGGGTAATGCCTGTCCTCTCTGCTCTAGATGGGTGTGATCTATCAACCAGTCGTTGGTGGGTAAGCAACGATGTTCTATCTGCCACTGCAGTGAGGCCATCTTTGCTGACTTGGCCCTGGTGGCAATGAGCCAACGGATAGGACGGATCACCTCGGTTCCTACATTTAATTGGGATCTCCATCTTTCCTTTACCTTTTCCTTAATGTTTGCTTTGGGGCGCAACAGGCAGTACGTTGCCTTCACTGTTAGGTTCTGCAGCTTTGTCTTCCCCTGAGATCTGCTTTTCCGTGGGTGTGAGTTTGTGTGACCACTGCCATTCCTCGGGATCCAAGGGGAGTTCGACCAATGGGTGATATGCAGTCCATACATCCTTGTCCTGTAGTACGCGGATCCTTTGTAGTTCCTTGTTTTTTCCCCATCTCGTCACATCCGGGGAGTATCGGGTAAGGACGTTATCCTTGCCTATGTAAAAAATATTAATCAAAGTTTCATCTGACCGCACGTCCACCACATTTTCCATGTTTTCTGAGTCGCCCAGTACAGACACCCAGTCCCTGACAGTTGCTCCTGGGCACCTACATACAAAGCAGGGCCGATACATTGAGAACCAGGCCATCGGCCTATGCAAAAGCAGTATTGTCGACGCACCTACCAGGGAGCCCTGCACAGATGCAGCGAACAGCCCAAGTCCGGGGACTCAGGCCGTGCCCAACTGTAAAGGGCCCCAGACCCTCAACTATAGCCTCGGGCCTGGGCGCAGGGACTGAGGCCCAACCGGAAGCTACTGGGAGCTTCCAGTCAGACCACATGCAGCATCCAGGAGTCTGCCACTTCCATATAGGAAGTGAGGCAGCCCAGGCGAGGCATTCTAGCCTGCGCAGGCAATGCGGTCATGCTGCTGCGCTGCTGCATTGGATGCTGCGCTAATGGTCAGGGCGCTGGCAGAGCGCGTAGAGGTGAAGTGGGGCGCTGCAGGGCAGTGGGGCGCAGGCAGTCATAGGCGGGCTGCTGGGCATCAGGGGGTAAGAGGGCGATCTGGTGGTCTGCAGGGAAGGAGGCGAGTGTGGGTTCTCAAGGTCTGATGAGGGTGATGAGATACGTACCTGGTGCATAAAGAGAGGTCGGCTATGGTGTTGACATCATGTACATTGGTCTTCGAGAGTCGAAGTGAGCCTGTTGCGTGAACACAACTGTAGGTAGGATAGTCGAGTAGAGTAGGCTGGGCGCTGGGCGCCAGACAGAGAGGAGCGACTTTGGATATTGTGTTGGTGTGGCCTACGGGCTTGAACATTGGCTCATTACTTCATTGTATTGCTCTATTTGGATGGATTCTCAGTGCAATTGTGGTCTCTGCTTGTACACGACTACTCAGACATCTGTCTGATTTCGCAACGTGGTTTTCGGTATATCGTTCACACTCATATTCCTTGCAATGCAAAGTGATGACCAAATTCTGAAATGTTGGAACTACAATCTCGCTCTTGGATAGAAAGCACCAAGTCAGTACACACAAAAAAAAAAAAAGGTAGGAATATTGGAAATAAAAATAAGGAAAGTGTCACTAATAATAATAGGGGTAATAAGGCGAGTGAAACGAAGAGTCTGCTCAATCGTTGTGTGAGTAAATGCGAGACTTATGCGAATTTTGCATAGCTACGCCGGACCGGACTCCGAACCGAATCCGGACCCCGGACCCCGGACCTCCTGGATCCATCCGGACTTCTGGAAACCCGGAAAATTCCGGGATATCCGGACACGTCCGTATGGCCTG